TGGGCCTTTCTACAAAGAAAATACCGTTTACCACATAGGAGTGTCTACTCAGAGCTCAGTAGTTACAGTATGTGGTGTCTGACAGTGCTTGCTGGTTTTCCTCACGCTTCCAGAAATTCTGTTCTTTTATACAAAACTTTTCAACTGAAGATTTTTATTTAAAGTAAAGTAGCTTGTGACAGAGTTGTTTCTATTGCAGCCTGTAACAATCTGACAGCATCTAACCGATCAAGCAGCATCACTTCCATTCCAAAAGCAAGGGAAGCAATTGTTTCATTGGTTCAGTTAGTATAATTTAAACCCAGGATAAATCAGTCCTGGAGGTTCTGAGATGGAGCATTACCTTTCCTTCCATTGAGTCTCCTTTTATTTTTTTGCTTGGTCTGTCTGTAGCTCTTTGTACAGTGCTTAGTGCTCAGATACGTTCTTCCTTAGCAAGGGTAGACTGGCATCACTGGGTACCTACGGGCTGGTTGGATTTTGTGTCCTGTTTTCCTGTTTGCAGGAATCCAAACAAGAGAACTGGAAATAGGCATGTACAAAATGCTGCCGTAAAACATTTGGAAAAAGTAGTCATGCGAGATTGTTCTGGTACTGTCTCATACTCAAGAAGTGCTTAAAAAATCCTTGAGAATTCTCTTCATAGTTTAAAAGATGCACAGTTTTGATGTACAGATTTCTGGAGCAGATGAATGGAAGATGATGGCACATACAGGCCAGATATCATCTGCATCAAGGCTATGTTTGTGCAAGAAATCTGACTATAACATACCACTGTTTTAGATGCAGCACTTCTGTCTTATTCTTAATTGGAGGCCAGATTAAAAGAAAATGCAACTAAATTTGGCATTTTTATTTTATATAAAAATGAGAAATGTATAGAAATGCTGCTTTAGAAAAAACTAATTCCCAGCAGTAAAATAATTTCAGCATTTCTAGTAACAAGGCTTCCCAAAGAGCCTACTGCTCTGCCTCAAAATTCTCTTCAGGAACAAAGCCAGCTATTTCTGTTTCCATAGGAAAAAGGAACAAGTCTGTGATTTTGCTTTGTAGATCTCCCACACCAGACAAGAAGTCAGTCTATTGCTAAGTAAAATAGTATTCTTGCTAAATTGTGCAGATATTTGGAGAACTAAGTCGTCGTTGTCGTCCCCACCCGCCCCAAAGAGCAGGTGCCCATCAGTGTGGCTTGTTAGTCTGCTTTGACCTTTGTATGTACACCAAACATGGACATCCATCTCTTAGTACCTGCTTTTTAGTTCAGCTATATGTTAAATTATTTTTAGTAAGTAAGAAGTGAATGTTTCCGATCGATAGCCAGTGCATTTGTGTACAGCACTGTGATACTTGGATCTCAGAAGAACAGAAGCTGTACAGAAGTGATCTTCAGATTTGGAAGTCAGTGGTATTTTATTTGCCTATTAACTAAGGCTCACTCAAATACTGCATCTTCTCAGCCATTTATTCTCTGGTTGTACTTTTATACTAACTGAAATGTTTAATGTTTCAGTAAAGGAGTGCTGATTAGAATGGCAGGAAAATCCTATTTGTATTTACTGTACAGGAAAGCAGTAGTTCCTTGGGCTTGCTAACAAGGTATTTTTTAAAATTGATTATGTTTACAGAAGAAATGTGAAAAAAAGTATAGTAGAAATACTAATGTATACATTGTTAAACTTTGCTACAGGAGATGGAACAGTATTTGTAACTACCAAACATCTTTTATGTGGAGAGCAGGAGGTGTATTGGGGCTAAACTTGTTTAAGTTTTCTAACAGTCTTTATTTTGGACAAACATTTTTTTTAAGAACAACAAACAATGCACGTTTTCATATTTTTTACTGTTCTTTAGAATTGGCTATTTAATAAACTTATTACAAAGTCATTTACATTCCTGGATTAATTGATGTCTTTTTGCATGGGTTTCTTTTGGGTTGCTGGAGTTCAAAATCCAGTAACTGTTGTGTGGAAGTATTACTTTGATGGAAGAAATATACTCTTAATGGTCTGATCCAAAGGGATTTGGATTAAAGCCATAATAAGGGCAGAGGTCACACAGCTAATACAATATAATTTGTCTTAACAGCACTACTTCTCTTAAATGTTTGTATTCAGTACACCTTCATACCGTATAATGATGCTCAGCTATTACAGACAGCATTGCTCAGTAACAGTAGTGCGAGGGTGCCATTTAGCTGTTCTCTGAAACACAAAGCAGCCCTGCGTTAAAATGTCATCCGCATACATCTGCCTTGAGTTACTTAGTCGCTATTAGAAGAGGAAATGAGACAAGTCGCCTTTTAGCTTTGTTGTCCTTGCTTGCTCTGACAAACTAGAAAGCTTTGTATGAAGTGTTGCACAGTAAAAGTGGGGGAAGAGTTGGGTTTAAAAATGAACCAACTGCATTTTGAGAAAAAAATACCACTGTAGAGTAAGTCCATCAAAGCTACACTAAACACAGCATTCAGCGAGAGAGAGCGCAGAACTGTGAGTCAGTCACCACATCTCATGAAACAGTGCAGCACAGAAACTGCAGCCCCGGTGCGGTATCATTTCCGGTAGGCCCAAGGGCTACACCACTCTTTCTTATTCCAAGAAACCAACCAGACTGTTAATGGTGAGGATATCCTCAATGAAATGTGATGCTATGGACGTCTCTGTTCTGCCCCGAGAAGCCCTGCAACATCGTAGTGCCTTACATACGCGACAGGCTTACCTGTGCAGAAGCCGGTGGAAAGCTGCGTCTGCTGTTCTGGAATCCTCAGCAGATGCACAGGAGGGCTTAGTCTGCTTGTTTCAGCTCTGAGATTCAGGTTTACCTTCCCCCGCTGGTGGGAA